ATATATATGAGCTCTCAGGGAAGGGAAAGCATTGCATCATTTATCTCTACTCCTTTTTTAATTTAGTTAAATAATTTTTTATATATGTATATATTATAAATTTATGTAAATTATTAAAATTCTAAGCAAGTTATATAACGTTTTGAAAAATATTTTACAAATTAAAAATATATTGTAACGTTGTAAATAACTATTTTATTTTGAGTAATACGTGTCTATTTTATTTTATTTGTAAGTTTTCAATTCTAAAAAACAAAGACATTTATATTTTATATTCACTATTTTAATTTTTTATTGGTGTACTTAGATTTCGTTTATTCTTTAAACGTCATATCTTTATAACTCTATTTAAAATAAGTATATGAATATTTTTTGTAAGTTCAAATCAATATCTTATGATATTTTAAATCTTTTCCAATTTTAAATATACCCATAATGTTACATGCGAAATATTTTATTTAAATGTCATGAAAGTAAGTTGTAAAATGGACAAAAAATTTGTTGGAAATTGAATCATTTATCTGAGAAGCAAAGGAACGCGTCAATTTAAAAGATACCGTTAGGAATTTTGTTGCATTTATCGACAAAAATTGTTGGAAATTGAATCATTTTTCAATCCTCTTTCCCAGTAAGGACGAGGAAAAAGCAAGGAAGCCAAGAGAGAAAAATCAAATACCAAACTTAAAAAAAAAAATTAGTGTATTTTCGTATTCATCTATAAATTCCACATTATATATTCTAATTAAAAAATGCATTAATTAAAAGTAATCATTTTAATTTTTTTAATGACAACACACTCTCTTTCCACATTTAATAATATTCTTTAGTCATTTGAAAAATATAATAACATATATATATATATATATATATATATATATATATATTATAAATGTTGAAAATATGATATTATATAGAAAAATAAAAACGATAGGTTACCATCCAAAATACCATATAGCATAACATACGAAGAAACTTATAAATAAAAAAAATGGTACTTTTGTCCACACAATTTTTTTACACATGATATTATCTTTTTTTATTTTTCAGTCTCTTCTTTCTTAAAAAAAAATTAAAAATTTACTTTTTTATAATTATTTTATTTTTACACTGTATATAAAATAAATGTAAAAATGTGTGAACCAACCCTTAGTCATCAAAATATTATAAATGTTATGATGGAATAAAAAAAATTTGATGAATCATTATTAGTCTTTAAAAACATCAACAAAGAAAAACTACCATAAAAACTTAGGGTAGAATATTTAAGAAATGAATATTATTCACGCGGATGGTAACTGCTTGGATGAATCAGGAAGAAAGTGTTAGAATAAGTTCTTGCTACGAAAAATCGCAGAAGCAACACAGAAAATTCAGTTCATCTGGAAGATGTCTCACACTATTTATGTTGTATTTTTGGTTCCTTTTCATCACATCACATCAAACATTCTAAGTACTCTCCTTGACCTTATCAGTTCCAAAAAATTATTTTTGTTGTTTCAACTCTAAGTCTTCACCACAATCAATTTGTTTTTGTTTTTTTTGTATGTTCTTGACCATATCCTATCATGTTGAGACCACACAGTACGTACCCCTTCACATGCAAGAAAAAGTGGCGAATGGCTTTCACTGCCATTTCCTTTGTCAAGCTTCTTCACCATCTCTCCAAGAAAGCTCTTCATATGAAGCCCCAAACCCTCTTCCGTTCCTTCTCCTACCGCGCCATTGATGTTGGTCCTCCACACGTGTCTTCCCCAAGTGACAAACTTTCCAACGTTGATCCCAAACTACTCAGTGAAATGGTAGGGGACAAGAGACTCGACTCTCTCACCCAATTTGGGGACGTCAAAGAACTCGCTGCACTTCTTGGAACTGATTTCAAGCTTGGCATAAGCGACGGCAACGATGACATTGATCGCCGAAAACGTGTTTTCGGTGTCAACGTGTTCACTAGGCCTCGATCTCGAGGTTTGCTTTCCTTTGTCCTTGAAGCTTTCAAGGATTCCACTATCATCATCCTTTTGTTTTGTGCCGTGCTTTCCCTTGGCTTTGGAATAAAGCAACATGGGTGGAAGGAGGGGTGGTACGACGGAGGAAGCATCATCTTGGCGGTTATTCTCGTTATTGTCGTGTCTTCCGTGAGTAACTTCAACCAATCTAGACAGTTCAAGAAGCTTTCTGCGAAGAGTGGCAAAATAGGAGTTGAAGTGGTACGAGGTGGTCGACGCCAGAGCGTGTCGATCTTTGAGGTGGTAGTGGGTGACGTTGTGCACTTGAAGATTGGCGATCAGGTTCCCGCGGACGGGTTGTTCTTAGAGGGACATTCGTTGAAGGTGGACGAATCCAGCATGTCGGGGGAGAGTGATCACGTGAATGTGAACGCTGACGCAAACCCTTTCTTGTTATCTGGCACAAAGGTCGTTGATGGTTTTGCACGCATGCTTGTAACTTCTGTGGGTATGAACACCGCATGGGGTGCGATGATAGGCTCGATCACGAGAGAGCTTGATGAGGAGACACCTTTGCAAGTTCGTCTTAAGAAATTGACTTCAGCTATTGGCAAGGTTGGTTTGTTTGTGGCTGCGCTTGTTTTGGTGGTGTCTATGGTGAGATACTTCACAGGAAATACTAGAGATGATCTTGGGAACCGAGAATTTGTCGGAAGAAAGACAAAGTTTGATGATGTCATGAATGCGGTTGTGGGGATTGTTGCTGCGGCTGTGACGATTGTGGTGGTGGCCATTCCAGAAGGGTTGCCATTGGCTGTTACGCTGACTTTGGCTTATTCCATGAAGAAAATGATGAGGGATAATGCCATGGTTAGGAGAATCTCTGCTTGTGAGACAATGGGGTCGGCAACAATAATCTGCACTGATAAAACTGGTACTCTTACAATGAATGAGATGAAGGTGAGTGAGGTTAGGGTGGGAAAAAAGCTAATATTAGAAGCTGAGAAATTGGCGCCGAGTTTAGTCCAATTATTGAAGGAAGGAATTGGGCTGAATACCACTGGAAGTGTTTACCAGCCCCAAGAAATTTCTCTGCCTGAAATTTCAGGTAGTCCTACTGAGAAAGCGTTGCTTTCTTGGGCGGTGATGGATCTGGGGATGGACATTGATGAAGTGAAGCAGCATTGTGAGATAATTCACGTGGAGACGTTTAACTCTGAGAAGAAGAGAAGTGGGATTCTTATGAAGGAGAAGAGAGGAAGCAACAGGGTGCATACGCACTGGAAAGGTGCTGCTGAGATGATATTGGCGATGTGTTCAAATTACTATGAGAACACGGGGGAAATCATGATCATGGGCGATGAAGAACGAGCACAAATTGGGAACATTGTGAAGAGCATGGCTACCAAAAGTTTGCGATGCATTGCCTTTGCCCAGAAGAGTTCCAACGGGAATGAAAACATTGAAAAGCTTGAAGAGTCTGAGCTAACATTGTTGGGGATACTTGGACTGAGAGACCCTTGTAGGCCAGGAGTCGAAGCAGCAGTTGAATCCTGCAAGAAAGCTGGAGTGAAGATCAAGATGATCACTGGAGATAATGTGCACACAGCGAGGGCCATAGCCTCAGAATGCGGGATTCTCGAGCCTGATGAAGAATTCGATGAAGAAGCGGTAGTGGAAGGCTGTCAGTTCAGAAATTACTCAGCTGAGGAGAGAATGGATAAGATCGATAGAATCAGAGTGATGGCGAGGTCATCTCCATTTGACAAGCTTTTGATGGTTCAATGTTTGAAGCACAAGGGTGAGGTGGTGGCAGTTACAGGTGATGGCACAAACGATGCACCTGCCCTGAAGGAAGCTGATATTGGACTTTCCATGGGAATAGAAGGCACTGAAGTGGCAAAGGAGAGCTCAGACATTGTTATCCTTGATGACAATTTCTCGTCTGTGGTCACAGTACTAAGATGGGGAAGATGTGTGTACATAAACATCCAAAGGTTCATTCAGTTTCAGCTCACAGTTAACATTGCTGCACTTGTAATAAACTTTGTGGCAGCAGTTTCTTCTGGTAAAGTGCCTCTGAATGCTGTGCAGCTCTTGTGGGTTAACCTGATCATGGATACTCTTGGAGCTTTGGCCTTGGCCACTGAGGAACCGACCAATGATCTCATGAAGATGCCACCTGTGGGGAGAGTTGAGCCACTTATAACTAAAGCTATGTGGAGGAACCTCATTTCACAGGCATTATATCAAGTGTTTGTGTTACTGATTTTGCAATTCAAAGGAAGATCAATCTTTGATGTGAGTGAGAAGGTGAAGAACACTATTATTTTCAACATTTTTGTCCTCTGCCAGGTTTTCAATGAGTTCAATGCAAGGAAGCTGGAGAAAAAGAATATCTTTGAGGGGCTTGGTAAGAACAAGTTGTTCATAGTAATTGTGGGTCTGACTATGGTTCTTCAGGTTGTGTTGGTTGAGTTTCTGAAGATGTTTGCTGACACTGAGAGATTGAGTTGGGGCCAATGGGGTGTTTGTGTTGCCATTGCAGCTTTGTCTTGGCCAATTGGCCTGCTTGTGAAGTGTATCTCTGTCGGTCCCAGCAAATAGCTTCACAAGACTGTCATTCATGGAAGATCTTTTATTTTGCTTTCATTACTTTTTCTTTCGCATTGCACACTGTGGTGACCTTTTATATTTTTCTTTGACATGTTCTCTTCAAATTGAAAGACCCTCTGTTTTTACATGTGATGATATATAACATGTTTTTACGTTAGAGTCCTCTTTTTAATTCGGTTGCTTCAAATTTATTGATCGCTTGGAAGTTACTTTTGTTTGTTTTTCGGTTTGTCAAAATTAAAACAAGGATAAGCACCTCCTCCAAAGTATATAACTCGAGAAAACTCCCAAATAGATAGTAATTTGCCAAAACTTGATGGTGATGAAAATATGACAGGTATACGGTAGTTTTTATGAGATGAGATGATGACTCTCCAAATTATATATGACTCAAGTAAGAAAGACATGCTATAGTCATGTTTGAGTACGCTCTTAAGAGACGTTAAGTCAATTCTTAAAAAAAAGTTTAAAAAAACTTAGAAATGATGCTCTAGTCTTGATAACCTAAATTAAGTAGTATAACAAAAAAATTGACAACATAACTTTATTCAATACAAAAGTGAATTTTTTATTCAATTCAAAAGTAAATTTACATGATATGAAACACCTTTATTTATAAACTCACCTTTATTTATAAACTTAAGAAACTCAACTTTATTTATAAGTTTAGAAAACTCCAAAGGTGTCTCACAAAATTGAGAAGCAATCCTAATTCTACAAACTTGGAGACTAAGGGAAAAATCTTTTTCATTATAAGAGGAGACATGACCACTATTAAAGAGAATCTTTTTACTTTACAAACATGTTATAGGGTTACTCCTTTTGAAAATTTTATGACATTCATACCCTTTACTTTGGAAGACAAGGCTTCTCATGTTGACCTAAGGTCAACTCTTTCTAAAAGCCCTATGGCTAATGGTATAAGATCCAAAATAAACGTTACTAAGAACTTCCTAATGGGCCGTGATAAAAGTTTGGGTTCACCCTCTGTATATATAACTCAAACTTTTTTGAAGTATGCTTGGCCATAATTGGTATGTAATCATTTCTTCCCTCCTAAAAAAGGATGTTTGTCCTCACATCTTCATATTTCTTCAAAACAAAACATTTTTCGTCTTCAAATCTTCATATTTCTTCAAAACAAAACATTTTTCTTATTATTAATTAACTTGTGTATCATACTTCCAGGATCAAAAATTCATCTACAGTCATTATTAAAAAAATTTCAATCAATTTTTGTTTCACATGTAATATAATTCAATGAAAGACTAGAAGGAGATCTTATGTTAATTTTGAAATAATTTCTTCAAAAACTTTCAAGACTCACTTTATAAAAGTGTTTTTATCTACTTTGAGTTAATGGTAACCTAAAAGGTAATTTAACTCAAATATTATTTAGTAAGTTTAAAATAATGGAAAGCAAAATTAAAGTTGAATTTTTTTTCAAAGTAAATATGGAATTATGAGAGGTGGTTTAAGAATATAATGAAAATAGTTCAAAGATTGAAAAACTCTTTTTATTGGATTAATATAAAATATTATTAAAGAATTTATACGTACCTTTAGTAGCACTTTCTCATTTTCTCTTCTCCAATGTCTTTCTTTTTTTTCTCATTTCTTTCTCATGTCTCTTTCTTCTCTTTTTCTCTTCATAATCTCTTCTTTCCTACTCCTCGTTCTTTATTTGTTCTTTCTTCCTTCTCTAATCTTTCTCTCTTCTTTTAATTCTCTCTTATATATATATATATTGTGTATATATATATATATATATATATATATATATATATATTTTAATTTTGAATTCCTCTTCTAGAATGGAAAACTAGGCCTTTATTTTAATTTTCTATTTTTGTTTTTATATAACCTTTTGTTTTCTTTAAATTTTCAGTGACTTAAACTTTTGAATAATTTAGTTTAAAATTCAATAATTTGGTAAGAAAGATCTATATACATATTCGTCCTATTTTTAGATTTTTAAATTAAGAAACTTTTTCTTTCCAGGAAAGAAAGATAAATCGCTAAAAGTTACTTAATAACCAAGTTTATCCTTGTCAAAATTTATCTCTAACCCTCTTGCATCAAACTTCTCAAAGAAAATTAAGGTTGAAAGTTGCACACTACTAACAAATAAAGAAAACAAATAAGCTAAATTATGCGAACTAATGGTACTTAAACCTTCAAAACACTTACTAACTAAGATGTGTTTCATTATAAGAAATTAAGGTTATAATTAAGAGATGAGATTCAACATCAAAGACTCCCTCAAAACACCTAATTATACAAGTAAAAGTTACAACACAAGAAATGATACTCCTCTCCAACTGTTTCTCTCCTCCTTTTCCTGTCTCCTTCACCAAGGCTTCAAACCCCCTTTAAGTCCTAAAATGCTACCTAAAGGATTGGTTCACCTAAAAAAAATGCCTACACTTCAAGTCAACTCTCTTCAAAAACCTACATTACATGACCTAATACAAAGTGGGTTGCTTAAGCGAACACCGTTGAAGCATTTCCAACGAAGCAACCCATTGTATATGATTAAAAGGAGCTTTTGTATTCCATTCATCTTTTATTTTCCTACCACTGGAACTGAATGGAGTTGTTTGAGTCGCACATAAAATAGTAGAATCTTCATAAGATATATATTTTTATCGATACACTATTTTTGCTACGACTATTGAATTGTGTACGAGAGATTAATGGCCTGCAATAACAGATGCAATACATGGGTCTATTGCTCAGCTATTGAATCATGAGAACGATGCATTATGCATCTAAGAAACTAAGCTAACTATCAAACAGAAAAATAAGACAGAAAAATAAATTAGAACGTATTTGACAAGACAAACACGCTCAAATTCCCTGAACTAATGGTCCAAGTCTTTACAATGAAACATAGAAACACAAAGGAGTGCAGATGCTCATCTGATGATCAAATTAAAGGTAAATTCAGCAAATGCAAGCGATACGGCATCCTCAAATTAATCTCCGTGGATAGTATAACGTTCCCATTTCTTCGTTGGGTCATATATCTGCAATAAAAAGTGCAAATAATGGTAATCAGAATCAGAACCTAAACAGGAAAAATAAATAGCCAGTTCAAGAATATCCTGTCACAGAAATTTATCAAATGTAGCTACAAATCCTCAAGCCAAAAAGAGAAGAAGGAACAAACACCGACTCATGCACTATGCACACGAGACATAGAAAGAGTTAGTACCTCCCATCTTGAAGCAGGAAATATATGCTTGTTCTTTTCATACCAGTGCCTTTCCACAACCTTACCAGCATGTGACTGGGTAGAAAACAAGATTCACCAGAGTAAGAAAAATTAAGCAAAAACCCAAAAGAGAAGTCATTAGAACAACAAAGGCATACACGAACTTGTTTCCTTTGACTTGAAAATCCAAATTTCATGATTGTGGTAAAATATTAGGAAGAAAGAAAGTATACCTCGTCCTTCTCTATAGTGGCATCAGCAATTGTTCGTACATCTTCATGCACATCAAAATGAAAAAGCTGTAGAGATAGAAACACGAGTACCGTTAATACCTCAAATTAATCTCCAGCTAATAAGGACATTTTCTAGTTTATGGCAGCATGCAAATGTTATTTCGCATTGACAATATAAAACGCTACAACAGAATTGTAGCATTATCACTATAAAAAAACCAATATAGTTACTGTTCTTGTTTTGGCATCAGAATAACTTTTATTTGAATCAATATACATTTACTAAAAAATACAGAAAATTTTCAACCGGCCATGAGAACTGAATGCAGAATTATTATTATTATTATTATGCATTTTCTGTTCGAACTTGGTATCTCTATTGAAATTAGTCAAATCTAACATTTAATCAGCCGCCACTGCCATGGACAGGGATTACAAGGAAACAGATAGCAACGCAATTTAAATTTGGAACTATAATCAGTAGAGCATCCTCTCCTCCCAGGGTAAAAAATAAAATAAATTGACTCGAAGATAAAACCAAGATTGTTAAAACTGAGAGTTTAGTGGAAGTTTCATAAACTTTCAAATAAAAAAATTAGAATATTTATAGATAGTATAATAATTTATTATTATATCATACTATAAATAATTTTTTTAATTGAAATATTATTATTATTAGTTTATCATGTTATATAATTTTAAATATGTTTATATTTTCCTAATATATATTTTATAATAGTTTTAATTAATTATATATATGATATTTAATATAACACAAAAAGTCAATGAACTTCGAGGTCTAAAGACTTTGAGTCCCATATATTTGAGGCCCAAAAGGAAGTGAAGAAACCCTATCCACCCTTAAACTACATCTTCCATTACTCCCACCCTCACCAGCGCAACAGAAAGGCAACACAGGAAGGTTGCAGAGTTTTAGAGCAAACCACAGTCGAAAGGAAATGGGAGTAATCACAAACGATGATGGGGACGATAGAAATGCCCAGAACAGAGACGATGAGCAGAGAGAAGGCACTCTTGGCTCGCCAACTCAGTTGCAGATTTGCAAGTTCAATCAAGTTCATAGCAAGTCCACTCAAACAAGTTAACTCCCAAGTTTAATAACCAAGGATAAAACATTAGATTTATTAGTTAAGCAAGCAATTGTGGCACAAATCCTATATCAGTATTTACATTCCTCATCTTACTACATAATTTGTCACTCTTGGATTATTTTTGCTTATTTTCGAATTTATTTTTTCTAAATAGCCACAAAACTTAGAATGCATTCTACCTTATTCTATTAATGCAATTGATCCTACAAGCAGGATGTTAAAACAATAATACAACTGCTATCATTTTCTGTCACAAAACATTTAAACAGGAAAAACGTGGGATTTCTTTGCTACAAGAGCCAAAAAGAATATTCGCATCAATTAGGGCAGGGGAGCATATTTTTTGGGAAATGTAAAGCACATCTATATTATTTGCATGATTTTTTAGAGGGAGCTTTCTCGTAACAGTACTCTTCCCCAAACCTTTTAAATAATCATTATATTACTAAAATCAAAATATCTCGTAAATAAAAACATCAAAAGATGCACCTTCTGAGAATAGCACAAAAGAACAAAACACCTCGTAAAAATAACAACAAAAGATGCACATTATG